CCATACCTGATATCTTTAGTACCAGATGAATCATAAACCAAATATCTTTAATATTTGATAACATTGATTATTCTAAATACCTTCAACATAGTGATGGAATTATGAAATTACTTGAATATAGTAAATATATTGTTTAATTAATACTGAAAAAAAAAAAAATTCCTCCTTTTTTATTTAATAAAATGAATATTGGCCAACCAAATATAATTCAATTTATAGATTTATATACGTATGTAATGTCTCTATATACATATGTATGTATTTTATAGGATAATATTGTAAAAAAATGAAGATGTTTATTAAATCATGTAGCATAATAGGTAGTTGATGAGATGAATTGTAATAATTATATCAATGATTGAAGAATGTATAATTACTAACACAAAATCTGAGTCAAAGTTTTAACACATATACACACCATACCTGTTAATTTTTCTCAGGAGAAAATCTTGTATCAAATTTTTGAATAAGATTTATCAAAGTCTGTCTATATTTCTGAGATGAGGTATTATGTACATTATTTACATTATTCGGACTATTGTCCTCATCTTTGTCGCCATATTTATCACAACGTTTCGGCCATTGTACGCTCCGGCCTTCTTCAGGAGATAACTGACATCTATCAAACATGGCATGTGGAACTAGAACAGTCTACCCCAGTGATCTAAATAAAAGGTTCAGTTCGAAATTCCAACCACCTGAAGAAGGCCGGAGCGTAAAATGGCCGAAACGTTGTGATAAATATGGCGACAAAGATGAGGACAATAGTCCGAATAATGTAAATAATGAAGATTTATCAAATTTTAAAAACTTTAAAAAAGAAATGTCATTTACTTTCAGGTTCAGTGTAGGTGGATTAATTGGTTAATTTTGTAAAAAGATTAATCATTACTCAATTTCAGAACTTTTAGCTGTACATCAAAACAAATTATTAAAAAAAAAATTCATTGTTTAATTTGACTAGTGTATCCATACTGTCAAAAATGATGACAATTGTTAGAACGATTTAATATTGATGGGCAATGAAACAAAAGTTTTGAAAGATTGTATTGAGATTCAATAAAGAAGAGATTCAGAATTCACAACGAAAATAGAGGCCAATGAACTGTTTGATTAATCTGTCCCTTTTATATATTTTTAGACAGTCAATGGTATCTATGGTTTATTGATTACTCTTGTCATTATATAAATCGCTTTTTGCCCAATATCTTTCATGTTAAAATTATGTGCTTAATATAACAGTGACTCAAAATGGAAAAAAAATTCTGGAAGGAAAAAGATTTATAACAGAACAACAAAGATGGTGATGAAAAAGCCTAAGTTGAAACAAGACAATCATTTAGTAGATAAAGGTATGTGAGTATCTCACAAGAAAGGCTGGAAAAAATAAGACTGGAGCCTAAGAAATTTAGTAGTAAGGGAATGAATGAATTAAATGGTTCATTTTGCTTGGGAACTAATTTTGTCTCAATAAAGATAAATATTTGTAGAGATTATTAAATGACTAAGGGAAGTAACCATTTATAAATTTACTACTGTGATTTAGCTCTTTTCCTACTCTAGAGTATAACACAAAATATATGAATTAATACACAATGGTAATAATTATATAGTAGATAATTTTACATTTTCTGCTGTGAATGAAAGAAAAAAATATTGAGTTTAATTGCTGTCAGTTTAACTAGAAATAAAAAAGACAATAATTTGTAGTAGAAAAGAAAGAAGTTTGGCTGTAAATTTGATAAAGTTTTTAATTGATCCTATTTTTCATTTACTTTTGTAAAGATGGAATGTCACTGCACAGGATGAAAAACAAGACTTGTCAAAGGGCAAATGAGCTTCTTATGGGAAACAACGGCATACATACATACACACACACACACACACACACACACACACACACACACATATATATATATATATATATATATATTCTGTGTATTTAAGCAGCAAATGATCCTTAAAGCAAATATTATTAAAAATGACAGACATTTGGTGTCAATTAATTTTAATGATAGACTTTTCCAAATTATGAATGATCTTTATCAGATGAGAAGGAAATTATACCAGAAACTGTCCCAAGTTCATTTTGTAAGAAAAGTACAAGTAATATGGTCCAAGCTCTTGGCTTTCTTAAGTCATCATCAAGGTATGTAGAGACAATTGGTGAGTTTTGTAGAACAAGTGAATGTTGTGACATAGGCAGAGAGTGCTGTAATATAAGCAAGGTGCGTTTTTTTTATACACATTTAAGGATATGGGCTTTTTATAATTATTTTTATTTATTGAGGGATGTTTTTGTTGTACAATTATTGGCTCAAGGATTGTAAGTCTGTTTTTAGTATTTGATTTGGCTAGAATGTTGGTATTGTTTGTGAGTAGCTGTCTAATGTTACTGTGATTTTTATGCTGCCTATTAATGACACTATGGTCTGACAGGTGGCAGGTGAGTTTTTGTGAGAGTGTGGTTGTGGTATATTCGATATCAGTCAGTTGGCATCCAAATCATCATCCTCTATCTTTATTCTCTTTCTGCATTCTGGTGGTGGTGACAGAGATGGCTGTAAAGGCCTAGCCTACTCCGGAAGAATATCCTATGTAAGTTGGGACAAAATTGATATTTAAAAGTTAAGTAATCTTATCATTTAATAGTAATAACGCTCTATTTTTAATATTATTTTAATATTTTTAATATTAAGCACTATATATAAAATCTCTTGTTTCTTAAATATATATATATATATCAAACGTTAAGTGCAAAATATATCAATCTGTGTTTTTTTTAAATTAACTCCAATATGCCTATATATGTTAATTTATTCTTCCTTTTCTTCTTTCCCCACTTTTTTCCTCCCACCCCTGCTTCCACATTTGCTTTCTAATATCTTTTCATCCCTTGTTCTCTTTGTCTCGTTTTCTGTGAGATGACTTATTAAATAGGTCAATGTTTGGTCCTTTCCCTGATCCCTTACTCTTGTAATAAAAATAGATTTAAAATTATTCCTATCTCACCCTTCCTTCTCTAATTTCAACCACATCTGTCGTCCCCCTCCTCCCCATCTCTATATCACCTTACATCAACTTAAAACTACCCCTCAAAAGTATATAAAAATAATATGTAAATTTAAAAACATTTTTATGCTTAGAAATGTGACCTGAGGAACCAGGAAAAACACCTTCCAGGGGAAATAAAATATAATCAATGGACCCTTAAGGTTGTCTGTTTTCTAATTAAATTAATATATATATATAGACCAGGATTGAGTCTTAAGGCTTGAATGGCAACCTTCCTAGAGTTGGTGTCTCGATAAAAACACTTGGTGTATTTGGACTTTTGTGAGTGTCTGTGTTGGGCATTGGGAAGCGCATTTGGCCTTGTAAAACCTTGTCTGAATTCTTTATGACAAATTCTTTGTCTGGCAGGACCCATCTTACTTTATGCAAGATTAATCCAGGCCCTGCCTCAACAATTTATGACTATGTATATATGTATGTTTTGTATTAATTGGATAATATGGCTTTTATATTAGCAATTATTAATCACTATCAATGAACATACAATTACTTAGTTCATGATAAAATGGTTTCTTTGTAATTCATATCTTTGCTATTAATAATAACAATTAAGAGTCTGTCTATATTTCTGAGATGAGGTATTATGTACATTATTTACATTATTCGGACTATTGTCCTCATTTTTGTTGCCATATTTATCACAATGTTTCGGCCGTTGTATGCTTCAGCCTTCTTCAGGTGGTTGGAATTTCGAACTGAATCCTTTATTTCACTCACTGGGGTAGACTGTTCTAATTCCACATGCCATGTTTGATGGATGTCAGTTATCAGTTATATCCTGCTAATTTCCCTCTGAAAGTTCTCCACTGCCTTAACCAGGTATTGAACTCACACTCTTTTTGGGTCCTGTCACTGGATCTAACCAACGCCTTTATCCACTGTGCCATGTGTCCTTGAGGAGGAGATAACTGACATCCATCAAACATCGGACGTGGAACTAGAACCAATGCCCCTTTTTAGGTAATATAGATCAAACATACATTGAAAAGCTCGGATCAAAATTCAGTAAATGACTACAAGCAAGACTACAAACTTATTGATCTACTCTCATAAATATGATTTAAAGTTAAGTTCACTTGTTCTTTAATTGACTTTGTAATTATTATTTTTAATTTAACTGATAATCTACTTTTTTTTTTTAAGCATTACACCCTGAGCAAGGCGTGAAGCCACTAGGATGCAGGGGGTTACAGAAGATTTGGAGCGAGAGCAGATAGGAGAGATAGAAGAAAGGATGAGAAGGATAGTGGGTAAATCAAGGTAACTGGCGGTGTCGATTGACATTACATTTGAATAGTTGGAGATTATAGCTCTCAGGGAAACAGTAATTGGGAAGGCTGTTCCACAGGCAAGAAGTGCGAGGTATTGGAGTAGAAGAGATGGCTACATTTAAAAGTTTCTACAGTGTAAGGGTGGGAGCGGGATGCCAGCCTCGTAGGGCGCTTGAATTCATGGAGTCTGAGAACCAGTGAATGCAGCTCATCGGAGCAATTACCATGAAAGTATTTGTAGAAAAGACAGAGAGAGGCGACAGCACATATTAAAATCTGTTTTTCCATATAAGGTTTAGAAAACCTGTATATTTTGACAGATATGAACACTCACCCATGTGTTTATACAAGATCCCAGAATGAATATGTGTGAAATGACAAACCTGAGAAGAATCAACAGACATTGATGTGCATATGCAAATATGCATGCACACACACACACATAAATATATACATAAACATATTACAGATGCAGGCATTAAATTCAGACTAAATAAAGGATGATAAAGGCACAACTTCAAAGTGAAATTATCAATTAAAGGCGATATTTAAGATGCAAATCGTGAACAGATGCTGACTGGGGGGGGGTGATCTCGAAACTAACATGCAGACAATAGGTATTAGACAAAGAGAAGCAGAATGTTCAGTTCCTACCTTCTGTAGTACAAGAAAACAAGAACCACAATGACTAGTGAAAGTGCCAAGACTGGTGCGGCAATTATTATTGGTAGCATATTCCTTCTAATTTGTTTGTTGGTAGCTTCTGTGAAAAAAAAAAAAAAATAATAATAATTATATCAAGGTGCAAATCAATTAATCAGAGAACAGTGTTTTCATCTTTAGTAAAAAAAGTTTCATAAAGAATTATTTGCAAATTATCAATTCAAATAAGTTTATAATGACAAACATCCAAAGTAGAAACACAAAGGGAAATATCTATAAAGATTTATCTGTGCCGAGTTCTACTGATACTATAGTTTGTGGGTATAGGTATATATATATATATATATATATATATATATATATATATATAGGTTTGATCAAAAAGTATTGGGACTGTTGCTATGGCAACAGGGCTAAAGTACGCAGTGAAACCACTTGACACAGATTGAACTTAAACTCTGTCATGCATACACACTAAGTTATATTGTTCTTGCTCACTTCCATTGTTTATAGCATTGCTTGGAAGGAAAGTGTGTAGTGTGGTTGTCTCACCACACCATGGTGGTTTCATCAGTGAACGTGGTTTGTGCAGAAGCAATTCAAGAGAATACAACAAAGCAGCTACTCACTGTCTCAAAATAGGAGTTCCAGAAATGCTTTCATAAATGGAAGTGATGCTGGATAAAGTATGTGAATTCAGAAGGGGACTACTTTGAAGGAGATTAAATACTGAATTGATGTGTGTTGTAGTTTTTTTTTTATTGCACCAGTCCTGATACTTTTTGATCAACTCTCATATGTATGGTATTGACTGGGAGTTCCATGTAAATGATTGCATCACATAGGTAGAAGAAAGTCCATGATGGAAAGGTTGTTTTCAAGTGTTTGCATATTGCAAAAGAAAAGGCTGAAAAGAAGTATACAAAAAAGGTTATGATGTGGAACTTCCAGGCCATATAGGTGACAGGCATGAACTCGGCTATGATGATTGTGGTACACTTTGCTTGGGTAAAGCAAGAAAATTGAGTCGTATTAAGTGGTTTCCCCTACACTGGTGAACACAGGTTCAAACCCTGAATAGGTTAGTAGATGTCAATTCACACTGTTTAAACAAAACAAAACAGGACATCAACTCAAACACATATAATGTTTTAAGTAGTAAGAAATACATTATATATATATATATATATAAAATACAAATATAAAGTTTGTCACTTAGCTGATTGATGTTATTTTCATCATCCCATCCTACAATATTGTAGACTTATATATGAGTGGATGTTCAAGTCATCTGAAGATTGCATGAATGTGCAACTTGGGTTACAACTAGAGCCATCCTATCATAGGATTTAACGTTGGTAAGTGTTTTTGCTTGGTCTAGGCTATATATATATATATATATATATATATATATATATATATATATATATATAGAGAGAGGGGTTAGTTGTTTATGAGTAAACTTGTATGCCAGGTCAGCTAGCCAATCCCTGTTGCAAATGCTTGCTCATTTACATTTGTGCTCATTCAACACTCACAGAGCACACCAGTGCTGTATAATGCAACTATGTTGAGTGCTTTCTAATTATATTTTTTTTCTTGGTGAGAACACATAAACTGTTTTTTTATATATATATATATATATAAAACGATAATAATATAGATTATATTGTTTTCATATGTGAAGCCAGGTGCATTATTAAGCCAAATGAGCCAGTATATTTATTATTGAATATATATAATACACTATTTCCTAAACTGAAAGATATTTAATGTAGGTCTTATTTAATTTTTATGATTATGGCTTCAAATATTTACATTTTTTATTTTATGTTTTATAATATATTTGAATTGTCTATAAGCCTCTGTCTAATACTGGTAGGAATATGACCGTCTTGTTTATTAATATGAGCTTTTATGGTATTATTATCTGGTAAAATGACACATTAGTTGATGTGAAAGCCTTGTAGTTACTTCACCAATGTATATGTTAGATGTTTTTTTTTTATTAACACTAGCAATATGATTTTCCAATAGGTAAGAAAGTTAATTAATATTTTATTTTGCTCATATTATTTATAACTGTTAGGTTAGATTTTTTGAATTTTTTAAAATAAAGGGTTAATATTTTTTGTTATCATTGTAGAATATTTTTACACATTTCATAGTTGTCTGTTTTCATATAAGCAAGTTACTCACTTGGGTGACTTACAGTCACCCATTTTCTGTGTTTGGTAGTCTATTTGTGATAAAAAAGAACAATGGGAAAATTAAAATATTTCAACACATAAAAATAAATATATCAATATATAATTATTAATTTTAAAAGTAGTTGAAATACAAATATTAATAGAATTTTCAATTTTAAACAATCTAGCAAACAAATTTTTAGAAACCAAAATATTGAACACGGTGTCTTTTGAGAAATAAAATATAAAAATGAATTTTGTTGACTAGATTATGAATATTTACAAAACAGTTATTTTAGAAGACTGCTTTGTAAATTTGTGATGATTCTTTAGAATTTTATTCCTGTAAAGAATTTCTGCTGCTTATCCAAATATCCGAAGACATCACAAGCAACATTTTCTCCTATTGGCACAAACCCAAACAGATAACAACTTTAGCCAGCCACCTACAGAGATCAATTCCAATGTTGATTGTTGAACTGGGTTGTGCCAGCAAACCTTCAAGAAACCTTCACCTTTCTAAGCCTTGGCAGTTCAAAGAATTTCTTCAGTGCCAAAGCTGTCTTTTACACAGTTTTTGCTAGCAATTTGCAAAGTTTTTTTTGAGAATTCTTTTCTTTTCTAAAAGATACAAATGCCAAAGATTTCTTCATTTGACAAAAGAAATACTTCTCACATTTTATTTTTGCTTCAAACTGACTATTCTCTAAAAATGGTATTGATTTGTGCCTACCCTCACTCTCTGTAAAAAAAAAAAAGTGTAATCTATTTAAATATTGTAGAAGGTGAATCTTTAGCTCACTTAATTTTTTTTAGCTTATTCCATAGCAAACTTGCACTCACAAATATTTATCTAAGCACATCTTCAAAATAATTTTTTTTTTTATAAAAAGAGCTTAGCAATTTGCAAAAAAGCGCTTTTTGATAAAAGGGCTTGTTTCACAAATTTCTATTTGTGAAAAAAGCCCTTTTTATAACAGCTTAGCAATTTTTAAAAGAAGCCCTTTTTATAAGAGATTTGCAATTTTTTAAATCACAATTTGTAAAAAAAAAATGCTTTTAATAAAAGCTTTGAAAATTATTAAAGCCCTTTTTATAAGAGCTTTGCAACATGTTATAGCCCTTTCTATTACAATTTGTTAAATACCTTTTGACAAGAAATTCACATTCATTAAACTTTTTGAAGATTGTAGGTGACAGGGAAGCAAGTGCAAGAAAAAAAACTATTAAAGTAGAACAGATATCTTATATGCCTTTCTATCTTTATATATCTACTGAATTCATTTTCTATCTGTATGCAGGTAGTTTTGGATTATTCTAATATACTTTCCAAATATGTAAATGTTACCTCACATTTCCAAGAGTTTTTTGTGATCTATTTTACAAGCATAAATAATAATGTTGTCAGAAGATATGTATAGATTTAAATATTTTGTTTCCTAGTGTGGTCAATAAATGAACTGACTGCTAATGCTGAACTTTTAAAATGGTCATAATTTTTTAAACAGTCTATTTTATTAAAATTAGTGCCGACAAGAAGTAATTAATGTTGTTAATGATTTTTGCCTTACCTAATACATTAAAAATACATTACGGAGAAGAAAAACACAATCTTTCCCATTTCTAAAAGATAAGCTGTAAATATGTGATATTAATCTAATGAACCATTTTTTTTTTTTTAATCCATCTATCCTTTCTTTATGTTCAAGCTTAAATGTCAGACATAACTAATTGCAAAGCCTATATCAGGGAGATGAAATAGCAAATGAGTAGATATAATCTATGTGTGCAGAAATTTATTATCAGATATAATTATCTATTTAGATGAACTAGTTCAAGTGTAGGAAGTAATTTGCAGCCAATTTAGTAGAACATATTTTGTAAATTTATGTTCACTTTACAATCACTACTTAAAAGAATGTTTCCTCATAAAAGGACTACACAAACTTTGAATTAATTAAAAATTGGTTTATATTAAAAAGTATTTTTTTAAAGTTTAGATATGGCCCACAAATTAAGAAAGGAGGATTAATTTTTTATTATAGGTATTATATTTTCTGTTAAATATTTAGACAGAATATTAATTTATCCTTCCTGTTCAGTAACCTGACAAAATAGGGTATGGGTTTTATAGCTGCAAAATTAGCCAATAAAAACAAAATAAATAAATAATCAGTAGTTAAAAAAATGTTCTTTCTCTTTTTAGTCATAATCAAATCTTTATATTGTCTTTCTGAGTTCAACTTATCAAGAAATAACATGCCCATCTGAATTTTTGAGATGAAAAGTAATGATTTACATGCAGATTATAGTCTTTGTTTTTGTTCTTATTATCACATTTTAGCCATCATCAGGTGCATATCAATCCAGGCAGTCTTCAGGGAATTTTGAATTGTCAACTGAAATAATCTGTAGGGAATTTTGAACTGAACCCTTTATTTAATCTATGGGGTTTGATTGCTCTTGTTCTGCTAATCATGACTTGGTTCATCTAGTTCATATGGCTCAGTTATTGTTGACCTCTTTTGCAATGGGTCCAAGGCATTGGACTCACAATTACTATGTCACCAGATTCATGAAACATTGCTTTAATCTGCTTGAGTGGAGAACTTGGAGCCTTAAATTTATCTTTTATTTTTTAATCATTTCATCACAAACAAGGTGATAATGCCAATGTGAGGAAAGGGATAATAAAAGAACAGGATTCAGGAAGACAGAAGATGACGACTAACATTGCATTTAAATTTTTGAAGATTGGATGCAACAAGGAATCAAGAAGATGGAAGACAGTTCCACAGGCAGGAAGTGTGAGAAAAGAAATTATAAGAATAGAATTTATAGCAATTTCAACAGTAAGACGATGGAATCTAGTTGTCAATTTAGTAGTATTCTTAAATTCATGCAGTCAGGT